TTATTTCTATTTGTTTACCACATCACCATATATGAGGAAATCCATGCATAGTTGACCTATAAATGTGGCCGTCATATCCTGCAATGTTCTATGTTTACTTTATTTCTATTTGTTTACCACATCACCATATATAAGGAAATCCATGCATAGTTGACCTATAAATGTGGCCGTCATATCCTGCAATGTTCTTTGTTTACTTTATTTCTATTTGTTTACCACATCACCATATATAAGGAAATCCATGTATAGTTGACCTATAAATGTGGCCGTCATATCCTGTAATGTTCTATGTTTACTTTATTTCTATTTATTTACCACATCACCATATATGAGGAAAACCATGCATAGTTGACCTTTAAGGACGCGGGGGTGGTCTGTTTGTTTAAAGCTAAGCACAAAGCTACACAATGGGCTATCTGTGCTATATCGACAACGGATATCGAAACCCGATTTCTAGCGTTGTAAGTTCGCAGGCATACCGCTATGCCACTGGGGGGAGGAGGAGGCGAAGGTGGTCTAAAACCACATCTTAAGACAATATGATGTGAAGATTTTCTGTATAAAGTGAAGGTTACGGCTGGAATGGAAAACCTCCATGAGAATCGCCATTTTTATGAAGCTAGGTATACCTGCTGGTTCCATTAACCAGACAAGAAACAAGATTTGAAGTTGTCAAAAGTTCAAAGGCTTCTAGACATATATCGTAGTTAAAAGCTTTTGGTCTGTTTAAATAGTAATATTTACTTCTGATCATAGTAGGCTACGTACTTAGAGCGACTCTAAGGTCTTGGAAACTATCATGTTGTAGGATCTATGAAAAACTTGTCAAGATGTGTGGTTTAAGACTTACGTTGCCGTCCTTTTACTAATAATGATAGGTTACATTAATGAATACTAATAATGACAGTTTACATTAACGAATATTACACCTTTATTACAGTGTAATAAACACTACAATTTTTGTATTTATCAATAAAGGTGCTACGATTGCCATTAGTAAAATTCAACACATGCAAGTTTTATGACAGTGTGTACAAAGTATATGATACATACGAACTAGGTAATTGTTAGCACTTTGGTAAGTCTGATTAATAATTATTATTATTTGAAATATGATATCCATCTACACGTCATATCTTATCATGACAGTTTACCTTTACAAGTTCTTATTAAAATAAGATATCCATCTACATGTGAGATCTTATGATAAAAGTTTATCTTTACACGTTCTTATTAAAATATGATATCCATCTACATGTGATATCTCATGATAACAGTTTACCTTTACAAGTTTTTAGACATTCTTCTTCTGTTTCGAAGTTGTTTTCGTTCCCGTCACAACCACCATAGATGAACTCTTCACAAGTTCCTGTTTCAGGATCAAAGTAGAATCTCGGTATATAAGCTAAACAGTTTCCTGAGTCTGGTTTCAGGTGGCAACTGTTAGCTGAGAAAATATAAAAAAGCGATATAAATGTTCGTAAGATTTAAGTATCACCCAACACAATACAGATTTTATTTTCTAACATTACAAAGTGCATGTTTTTAAACTTTACAAATTTCATCAGTAAAATTAATATATATAACATAAATTCAGAGAGTCTAGGTTTATAATCCGATAAGTGTCGCCTGGGCCTAAAAGTCAAAAGTAAAATTATTGTGAATAATATATAGGCCTAGGCTTGGCATTTTGCCGTCATTACGTTACCGCCATTTTCCGGAAAAATAAGCTAGTGCCAAAGAAAAGAAATAACGAAATAAAAAGGAATAATATAATACAAAAATGGTTCATTTATTTCATTGTTCATCATTACTGAAATCTGGAGAAGGTAATTCATAAGAATACGTGGAGTTTTATACCAAGAAGAAGGACTATCTTATTTATGTATTTGTCATTGAATTCTGGAATAGTTAATTCACAATAGTTTTATCAATAATGGTTTATATTTTATGCTTTTAATAGCAGGAATATTTTAAAGTTTTTCGTAAAATTTTAAATCTATATAGATAAGTTGATAAAATTAGATCAACCGTGTTAGGCAGATAGTAAAAGGTGGATTCTTTGATGTACGTTTTAATTGTCTTATGTTTAAATATCTAATAGCAATAGGGCAAAGCCTACGTGGATTGATGGTTACGGTGTTCAACTCGCAATCTGCTGTTACGAAATTTTGTTATATGTAAATGCAATAATATAGTGACTGATGATCAAGGCCTTATTTGATCATTTTGTTTACTTTGAACTCCATATACATGACAGAATAATCCATACTTTTCAAAATAAATTACTTTACACAAATATTTATAAAAAAGCCATAATGCCTTCGATTTTGTAATTTTTATTAAAAAGTAGATCTTTTCAAATAGCTTCATATAATTTTGATAAATGTTTCATTATTGTTTATTTGGTTGTTAAGAGAAAATTAAGAAACTTAATCCAATATTAATTAAACAAGTGAGGATCACATCAAACGATATTAATTAAATAAGTAAGGATCACATCAAACAATATTAATTAAGCAAGTGAGAATTACATCAAACAACATTAATTAAACAAGTAAGGATCACATCAACCAATATTAATTAAACAAGTGAGGATCACATCAAACAGTATCAATTAAACAAGTGAGGATCATGTCAAACAATATTAGTTAAATAAGTGAGGATCACATCAAACAATATTAATTAAATGAGTGAGGATCACATCAAACAATATTAATTAAACAAGTGAAGATCACATCAAACAATATTAATTAAATAAGTCAGGATCACATCAAACAATATTAATTAAATAAGTCAGGATCACATCAAAGTTTTGAACAGATGTTCCTGAATAATATGATGTTGAATATAACTTTAATGCTGAAATAATTAGACATGAAAAAATGTTATCGTTTTCTTCATTTCGCATTTTATAATTTAATGTACAGAATTTGTTTATATTTTTTTAATAAAAAAGTTATCATATTGTACCTGGTAACATTCTTTAAACTTAATATATTTTGCTCTTTCCAAATTGTTTACAATATATTGTATAAAACTGTGTAGAAAATTACGCATAGTGGTTGTTGAAAAAGATAATAAGAAGTGTTATAGGTCAACCACTAAGGAGTTAATATATATATATATATATATTAATATATATATAATTGAGGATACAACGTTTCAGGCAATGCCCTTCTTCAGGTATCACTAACTGAATAGTAAATCCATAAACGAAAACATTCTAAATCGAAGGTCGCGTAACGTGACAATGTAACAAATATACGTGTATAACAATGCTTACAAGCAGGCCCTTACAAACAAACATAACTATGAAGTACAAGAAAACAAAATAATTTTTGACCTGGGAAATTTCCACCCCAATGGGCTAAATAACGTTTTAGATTTTTGCAATATTTCTAGTTTTATTTTTATCCTTTCTTAAAAAGTTTGATACAGTAAATTATGTATCTATTATTTGTACACTATAATGCATATATATATTTGTGTGTGTGTGCACGTGCACTTGTATGTATATATATATATTGTAACGAATTTGTTGTCATGTATTTATTGTAATATGAACATTGTTTAGATTAAGTTTGTATTTTAAAACATGCCTAGCTTATAGTATTATATATGTATTGCGAAACTCCCGCCTATTCTCCAAAGCTGTAGAAGATTTTCGAGAGTAAGAATCAACAATATATGTATACAGGTCAACGCTTAGATGTAGCTCAGTATTGTTACGTAAAACTGAAATTTCTAGAACGCATCCACACGGCTATAAACATAATCAACGCGATGTGCCAAAAAGAGTATCTATTATTGGTTTACTATACTTGGTCTGCTAAAAAAACTTCGTAAGCTATGACTGTGATTTACGCTTATCAATCGGAAAACTTAAGGTATTTGACCAGGAGCATTTACAAAGTTCAAACATTACAAATCATTTAACGTCAATGATTCTCATCGGACATTAGTATTTATACGAAAACGTTATATAAATTCACCGCGGAAGACTCAGCGCGCGTGATTGGTGAATAACGAAGGACAAAGCTAGCTAGCTTCCTATGAAGCGAGTTATATATCTACGTCAACTCGTAATCAACTCGCTCATCGTGAACTCTCCATAAGATATCGAAAATGTTCCAAATTAAAAGGAAGACTTTATATTGCTTGTAAGTTTGCGAAACTTTTGTTTATAAATCATTGTTTTTAATAACTATTTGTAATGATTGTTATTGTAAGTTGTACTGTTGTGTGTATATTAAAACGTATTTGTGTTAAAAAAGAAAACTGTGTGTATCAATCTTGTTGGCAAATATCATAAACTGACTATGTATCGGCATATATTTAAATACAAAATAAAATATATAATTTAACTACTAAATTTGAATTATCAGTTAAATCGGTTTCGGATTATTTGAAATTCTAATGTGTAAATATATATATATATATCACTTTCTATTGTTTAAATTGTTTCTAATCATTGTTATACACGTATATTTATGACATTGTCACGTCACGCGACCTTTGATTTAGAATGTTTTCGTTTACGGATTTATTCTTCAGTTAGTGATACTTGAAGAAAGGCATTGCCCGAAACGTTGTATCCACAATTATATATATTAAAATACACATATATTAACTTATTAGTGGTTTGACCTATAACATACTTCTTTTTACAATATATTGTACATCATGATGTCTTTTTTTAACTTAATATATCTTACTCTTCCCAGATTGTCTACAATTACCAAAAATCAGTTTTTTCTATACTGACAGAACTTTTGGAGAACATTTATACTAAATTTTTAACCATACCTTATTTGCTTCTATTTATGATTTAATTTATTCGTTTTTGTTTGTTTTTCTTGACAAACAGAATGTTCTAAATAATTTGTTTTGTTATAGGTATAATATCACATGTATCAAGTTTTAGTGTAGATAGAGATACGTACGATCTAATTACTATTCACAAAGCCATGACAGTAACTTACTCATGTAAATATAATATCAACCCAAGCATTATAAGAAAAATTACCTTGGGCCCTGAGTGATAGGCTGAAGAGGCAGAAGAGAACAATGGTTTTCATTTCTGACACAAAGCTGGCTCAAGCTGTTTCTTGAAATATAAACAGAACAAAAACTGTCTCTTTGAAACCATCCCTTTATAGGAAATTAACCAGTGTAGATACCCATACGTTATCTGGTCATAGACATTGCCTGACACCGGGAAAATGATAATAAAAGCAGGTGTTTAACAGGATCGTTCCACAATACATGTGTTTGTTGTAATCTTAATATTATACGATGATAATTTTTGTTCCCATAGTTGTGATGGCATTGTACCAAATAGTTTTAAGTTTAGACAAGTGTTAGCATACGACCGGATGTTATAACGTAGCTTCTTCATCTTGTTTCCATGACAAATTTCAGTGTCACTTCCAACAACTTGGTGATCTCATCGATAACACGTGTTTCTACTACATATTCTTTTACGATGGTCATGAAATTTTCACCTTAACGTGGATGGTAAAAAAAATAATCGTTATATGTCCTTTGTGTTCATCTGTTTGTTCTAAGATCTTTCCTGGGATTTTTGGTTCTCAATTTAATATGACAAAATTAGAAACACAACAGTTGTTTTAGCTTTTTCCGACGAATAATGTTTTTATTTGCTGTCTTCAAACATATACTGAGGGTTGATTGAACTTTACAAAAATGGTGTTTCGAGTTGTCCTTTAATCTATTTTCAACATTCTCGAACTTACTTAGCTTCGTGACTATGACCAAACATTATTACTGGACAACATTCCTGGCATGGTTTGGTGGTTAGGGCTCTCGACTTGCAATCTGCAGATCACGGGTTCGAATCCCATTATCGAACATACTCACTTTTTCGGCTGCAGGAGTGTTATGATGTTACAGTTAATCCCACTATACGTTAGTAAAAGAGCAGCTCAAAAGTTGGCGATGGGTAATCTTGACTAGCTACTTTCCCTCTAGTCTACCACTATTAAACTAGGGACGACTAGGGCAGATAACCCTCGAGTAGCTTTGTGCGAAATTCAAAACGAATGAACCGAACTTTATAACAAGTTTTTGCTTCATTAATGTAACCTATCATTATTAGAATTCATTAATGTAACCTATCATTATTAGAATTCATTAATGTAACCTATCATTATTAGAATTCATTAATGTAACCTA